TTCTTGCGGTCTCGCCATAACCTCTCTTTCATCAAGTGTTATTTAACCGTATTAGTACTAATTATAAGTGCGTAATAAAACTTCGTTTTTCAATACCTCTGGTATAAACTAGTACGAACTAGTAGCAGGCTCTTGAGTGAAGGCGTCGAAGAATAACAGAGAATCCCTAACTGCATTATAAAGAAATATTTTCCACGAATGAAAGCAAGGAGATACTTATGAAACTACGTATCCTGTACTAAATGTCGTGAGTCTATTGATTTCATTTTGAGCTAGAATGGAAAATGGCGAGGCCTAAAATTAAGCCAGCATTATTGGTGCTTAGAAATTCGTAAAAAGTTCAGTAAGCGATTATTTCTTCTTGTTCGAATGTTAATACCGTCGATACAACTTTAAGAAAAAAACACCATAAAAGTATAATTCAAAGACATGTTCTACTGGCTACAATGATATCAGAAAAACTATCGAAGATCTAGTTTCGAATTGCCTTGCAAAGTATTTGACAAGTTGCCACTAGTATATGCCATTTTCCGAAATTACATTTCTTGATCAGATATGTGTACGAAGCCGACGCTCTGAAACATAGGTCGGGAACTTGTGGCTCGCGGGAGTCACTCGCCATGTCATTTCAGATGGCTCGCAGATAAATTTAAGAAAGACCAACATTTGGTACTTTAGATTGAGTTTATAAATGGACAGGACGGCTGCACATATAGACTAGTGATGAGCATTAACTACTCACAGCACGAGAAGATAATATTTAAAGTGCATTCAAGGATAGGAAAATCCTTCCCAACTGGTATTTTGGGGTGAGTTTATTGGGATATTTTGATTTCAAAGGGGGGGGGGTATTGAGAATACCAAGTATGTTGTGATGAAATTTGAAATTTCAGTACTACCAAATGAAGATTTTATCTAATTGTCAATTTATTTGTACTTCTCCTTACCTCTGCCGCCTTTTTAAGCGCATTTTGTTCTATCCGACGAAAAAATTTGGCGTCATTTTGGGGTGAAAAAATTGTAGTTTGTATTTACTTTAACTCTCAAACTACCTTTTAAAAAATGTACATTACTTAAAAGATGTGTGAAGAACATATTTCATTAAGAAAAAAAAAATATTCAATATAGCAGAAAGGCGCTGAAAAATGTATCGTTTACAGTTTTCAAAAATTCAAAAAGTTTAACATAAATAAAAGCAAAGCAAACCAGTTTGAAGCGTCCCTTCGTCTATCTGATGAAAAATAAAAAAAAGACCATTCAAAAAAGCGTCGACCACGGCCGGACGTGTGGACAGGCGTTTTGCCGGAAACCAATTTTTCAGAATCAAAGATCCACAAAACATCGATTCTGACTATATTCAGTGTTAGAGGACATGTAGAAATATAATTTATCCACAATAAACAGGACCCTCCAACATGAGTTTTTCTGACAAAATATCGCTACTTTCCGTTGCAGCATTACAATGCATTCTTTACTAAACAAGTAAGTAGTATGCAACAAAGTAATATCTTAAAACATTCCAACGTCTTTTACAGATTTTTTTTCCTTTTTCTATACGGGGTTTAACCAACGGGGTAGGTTGTTGGTTTTTTTTGGACTAGTGGAAATGTGGCTAATCTTGAGTGTATTGGAAGTGAATAGCGTATTTTAAATAGGTGGTCTACTGATGTATTGCTATTGTGAAAATACGCCTCAAAACAATTATAATGGTTCTTTAAATTGCAATAAAAATAAATGTGTCAAAATATATAACGACCCATTTTTAGTGCCTCACATTTCGCAGTAGACCTGTCGCCAACCACTTACGTAGCACACATGACTCCACGGGTTACCTATAATCACACTAAAGCAGCGCTGCAGCAAGTGCAAGTGCTGGCTTTGTAGCCTTGGTGGAAGAGTGCAGGCGCAGCTCGCAACCGCAATTCGCACTTGCTGACCCAAAGATCAGTCTCCTAATGACCTTCACATGCCAAGAAACAGCGAACTCGGGTTTCCTAAATTTTCCCCACCCCAAGAAACCCACCAGGGATAATAAATAAATAAAATAAACACGGACAAGTCCTTGAAAACCCCACTGAAATCCTGAAACGATTTTCATATTAATTCAAATAAAATAACAAAACTTACAATATTATGTACTGAAATGTATGTTATGATAATTATGTACTATTATGATTCATTCAAACTCAATGAGTACCCCCCAGATAAGATGGGAAAAAATCCCCTAAAACAAATTGACACGAGTAGTTAAAATGAAAATAAGATTTTAAAAGTTTCTTAGCCCCCTTTCACCTTCACAACCATCCCTTTACAGAGAAAAACGCGTTTAATTATATTTTTTCTCAACTTATTTTATCACGACTTATTACAGCTATTCTTTTATACGCTTGAAAAAATAAGAAAACATATACCATCAGAAAAATATGTTCATTTTCTCAGCATGATATTCGAACGCAAAAGAATGATTTTTGAAAAAATTACAAAACATAGTTTTTACTGCCATAAAACCTGGAAAAGGGTCGAAAAAACCTCAAATTTCAAAACAACTTTTTCTCGTCCACCCCCCACTGATTTTTTTAATTTGCCCCAGCAGCATTCGAAGGGGACAGAGAAATAACGTAAATAAACTATCAGCAAAGTGGAGGAATGTCAATATTGTCACCCGTTTGTCGTGAATCTCATTTCGATCAGTAGGGAAAAGATTTCACTTATTAAAATATACTTTTGATCAACTGACACACAGTTATTTAATCGGGAGCTTCAATATCGGAAGTTGAAACTAAGCTCCCGTTTGGATAACCACGTCCTACCTGATCGCTGTCAATCCACGACAAGTTTAAACTGGAGTATGATATTAACGTAAACTTATTTCTAATTAGCTTATTTGTTTGCAATTTCACTCGATAAGCGTTTTAGTGTTTTGTTCGTAGAGAAAGGAGCTATTATTCGGTCATACATTTCTCGTGTGTATGGACTGTGTTGCTGAACTCACCGCAGAGCACAATCGAAGTAAATTTAACCTCCCGGCCTTCACGGCGTAACTGGGACGTGAGTTCGTCAAAGCAAAAGTGGCTTCATCTAAATGAATTCTCAAAGATATAAAAACTGAAGGAAGTTCTGAACAAGAGTTATAATGTTATGAACAATTTGAGATAAATACTCCTGTTGCACAGTAACACGTATCACATTTACTGTATTGAATATATTTCCATTATTGTTGATAGTACAAATTTATGACAGTAGCATCAATGAGTACCTATGTGATTTCTGCTGTTTGTTATAAAGAGGTGTCCGTAGATAACATAACGCTCATTTGGAGTATTTTGAGTACGCCCCTCCGCCCTTAACGGGCTCTTCAACTCCCCTAAATAATTACGTAACGTTTGCAACGTTACCCATCTAGTCCATACCGTCCCATCAGACAATACAAATAAAATATACGTAACAGTAATAGGTATTTTAATACATGAAAAATAAGTTATATTTGTATTTTTTATACATTATATGGCAAAATATTTTATATTAAAATGTTATTGCACAGAGGTAGAGAATTTTGAATACCGATTTGGGGATTATTTTCGTTTTTCACCGAAATCTCGAGAACAACCGGAATCCTTGGAGGCACTGCTTCTTAAACAATTTTCATACAACACAACGCCTATGAACATATCGTCCGCAATACATCTTGACTGGGAGTAGATTTCAAGAAATTAGCCTAGCGATGAGCGCACTACCTGTAGTCTAATGACAATCACCGCCATAACCTAACCTTCCAACGCGCGGGGAGCTCCCTTCAGCCAGGAAGCACCGACCAACCAGGAGGCCATTAAACCCGTCGGGACGCCTCAAGTTGGCACGGCAGCAGGCAGTGCTGCACGCTCCAGGAGCTACACGGGCAAGTGCATGCACAAGCCGACCGGCGAAGCGGCACGCCTTTGAAATTGGAACTATCCATAGCTTCCTCACACTCGTCACACTACTTTTTCCCTTATGGAGGATGGCGCGAATTAAAATACGACACTTATAGTTATTTTCTACCATCCCCAAGTCCGCGTTGTTAATACACGAAGATATACAGAAAATGAGCATGTTTCCATAATTCGAAGTAAAGCATCTTCTAAGCTCTCTCAGAATATCTATGAAGAATACAAATTGCAACAAGGTTGCAATAACCAGGGAAATTGCATTTACGGAGATGTGTGCGAGACGGGAGAGGATCGAGGCCAAGGCCGCGAGGAGCGCGTGGGCGACAGCATCGGGGCTCGACCCGCGCCCTCAAGGCCGCGAACGCGCAACAGGTGGTGATGGTGGTGTCGGCGGTAGCCAAAGCAACAGCCGCAGAGGTGGCGGTGGAAGCGCGCAACTGACGCGGGGCGCGAACCCGGTGCCCGCGCAGCGGCCTGGCTCGCGGGTCGACGACCGCGCGGCGCGGGGAGGCGCGGCGCCGGCACAAGCACTGGGGTCGGACCGGGGCTGAGGGCGGTGCGCCGTGCCGCCCGCGCTCGCCAATCAATACGCGCGCCTCCAGCGCCCACGTGCTCCTGTTTACACTCGCGCATCGATCCGCTGGCAGCGGCAGCGCGAGCGGCGCAGCCAGGCGATGCGATGTGAGGCGCCGCGCGGGCGTACATCACATACACATGGCAACGGGGCGCCGCAGTACCCCGCTCCGCTCGCCATTGCCCCCGCCGCGGCGCCGAGTCGGGCCCACAGCCCAGCCAGTTCCGCCCACAGCCGCGCCCAGCCGCTGCGTCTCCGCCACACGCAGATCGCTTTTGGCTGTCGCCGTCTTCCGCGCGGCCGCCGCCCGCGGGCATGTTGCAACGCTGCACGCGCGGAGCGGCGCAGAAGAGCGCGGAGTGGCGTGGAACGCCCGCCCAGCCGGCCGGCAGCCGCCGCGCTGCTTCTTCCGCGGGCCGACTGGAGGCAGCACTTTCTGGAATCCGGCCGGGCGGGCGGCGACGCGGCCCGCACGCGCGCGGCAGGCCGTGTAATTTACGAATAACGGCGAAAGTCCTGTGCTGCTGCGGCGCCCGCTCTGCTCTTCCCACCGACGGCGCGGCTGGCTGTCAAGGACCCTGCGGCCCCAGGCGCGCGCGACCACTGCGCATCCACCCGAGCAACGAACGGCATCTGCGTCCGATCGGACAGATTCTAACTAATGTCCCCGACAGCATAAGCACCGCACCTGTACAACCTTCGATGTTGCTGCTGGCGCCGCCACCGCCACTACGACGTGCCCCGCACCCCCGCCGAGCGGGCCTACCGCAACTGACCTTGTTACAGTTTAGTGCGACTGTATGCTGCGCCTGCCCTCCGGAGCGCGGTTAATCCGCGACCAACTAACCCGCCCACTCGCGACGCGCTATCGCACAGGAATTTGCCGATGTACCATGTACGACCGTCTCGTGTAGTCACCCTGTTTCAAAACAAAATGCTGCGCGTATTTGGAGAAATCGTTCCGGTGGGAAGGGTTGCCAACGTGCGCGGAATGTAGGGATGGCTCGTTTCGTTCCCACGGGGAGTTATTCTCTCCATCAATTTAGGTTCGCATAGGCTTGATGTCAAACTGGTATTTAAAAATAATTTCAGATAGGAAAGTAACTCATTCGTCAAACTTTCACATAAACATGATCGGAAAAGTATTATTATTTTCATTTGTGAATTTGATAAGGCAGAAAGAGAAAAAACTAATATCGTGCGTTTCGGCGTTATGACACTTAACAAGAGAGTAACGATTTGCGCAATGCACCATCTGGCTTTATTGGCATGAAATGTTTGAAAACAATATTGATAAAAGCGCCATCACTACAAATCTTCACCTCATTCACCTCTCAAAGAAATTCCACGAGACCACTCAACATAGAGCCCAAAAAGGCAGATGACCTTTCAAGTACTAGTATAAGGACTCAGAAATTCATACAGGTTCTCATAAATAAGGCACAATTTAAGAAAACTACTGCGACATGCGTGGGGTATACACACAGACAACTGTAAATAACATTTCTGTATACATCTCACATGTACTTCAAGAATAAAAATTCAATTCTTAAGGTGCGGTTGACAAATTGGGGCACTGCTCCAAAAAGGTGCGAATTGCGTACTCTTCTACCGGGCTAGGCGAAGCGTGACACTACAGACAGATGAAACTTCGGGATTTCATTTTAGCACTAAGCATTAAATTCTACAACGACCTACGCAATTTTTCATTGTTGTACACACTGGTATTTCAATATAACAACAATATCAGCTCATGATCTACAACAATAATTTGACTTCATTTTCTATTGCTACAGAAACACTTCTGAAATCAACTCACCAGAGCAAAGAAATTTGTGTGGCAGTCCTCCAAACTCGCACCGTTCGTCTGATGATTTGGATGCGTCATGGTTTCTCCATCATCTTAAATTTCGTTTGGACTTCTGCACACACGATTTACTCCACAAAAACCACTCTAAAACCGATATTATCCACGATCACTCAGAAGGCTTTTCACCTTTCAATGGCGACTGTAAAATGGCGGATAGGCAACAACAAGCTCGGAGCTTTCAGATTTCTGATTGGCCTTCTTCAGTCACATGATACTAGACAACATGGCAGCGCTCATGAGGCATGGGTTCCTGAAAGCAGGGAAAGGATTGAAAACATTGTCAGATAATACCTTAATGGTCAGATTTATCTACTTCTTCATTTGTAGTTATTGGTTTATTTGTGTGACACAATATTTTTGGATAATTTTTAGAGAATTAATGATAAAGTTGAAATGTCTTAACCATTGTAGCCTAAATTTTACTGAGGGGACTTTTCTCTGGTTACAGATTGTATGCAATAAATCATACAGAAAGAAAGACGCGAAAAGCAAAGAAATATCGGGAAAGACTGTCATTCCCCCCATTAAAGTGGATCTTGAAAGAGAGTAAATTCATTTTTATTTTTTTCTGTTGTAAATATAAGTGTGTTAATGTCATTTGTCACTTTCAGAGTGTTAAGAATGTAATATTACTATTATATTGATTTATTCAACATTAATAGTAGTAGCACATGTTGTTCCTGATTGTTGTTTCATAAGAATTTGCAGGATATAACCTAAGTAAAATTTTATCAGATACTTGCGGCCGTTTAAGAATTATGACCCTCCACCTGATGTAGAAGAGCAATTGGCTGCTCTATGTGAGTCTATTTTGGGACCAGAATATAACCGGAAAGAAGAAATTAATCATCATTCAAAATTCCTACTTTTGAATGCTTGTTTTAACGTATTTAGCCATGGGGTACCCAATAGTATACTCCATGTTATTAAATCTGCAGGTGAGAATGTGTCATGAAAAATAACTTAAAGTTATTATAAATGGTGTTTGCTTCTGAATATTGTTTCTTTTATTATAGAGGATATACTGACATTTTATAAGATAAAAGTGGATGTGTCTGTCCCTCTCGAAAAAATGAAAAAACAAGATTTGCCTCCTAACCTTCATGTAATCTATGACTATGTTCGATTTCATCCAGGTAACTTCTTCTGTATTCCTTAACTCTTGAGTTTTCAGTTAGTATTTCAGATATGAATCATACTAATACAATCACATCCTATTATTTTCAGATACTGATACAAAATTTGGTGGTATCAGTGCCTTTCCAAAGAGCTCTACAATAGTTACTGGGCTGAAGTACAAAAAGAAGTATCAAGGACATGAGGCTAAGAAATCTTGGCCATAAGAAAATTCACTTTTTTGATTACACATCTCTTGTGTTGTTTTGTTATAGTTGTAGAAAATCAAAGTAACTTCATTCTAAAATAAACTTTATTTACAAATTGTGCTTCTTGGCAGCTTAAGACCATCTTCTGTCTCAAATTTCCATAATTTACATTCTTACATTAAATCACTCTAGAAGTTTCAGACTTCAAAAATAATTTCCCTTTCAAACTATCTTTCCCAAAAATCACTTGTATGTACAAGTCAGTGCAAGTATTAACACTCATATTTCCTAATAATAAAAAAGTGTAAGAATACACTTGTATTTTCTAATTCATCAGAAATATTAAGTTTTTCTGGTGTCCAAGCTTTAATTCATTGAACACATAAGTTGCAATATTCTGTAAATGTAATCGGGAATAACAAAGTATTGAATCTAAAATTTTGAAAAGTAAGTTGCATCTCTTTCAAGATTGTTAGTGAACTCTTAGGCGAGTGTGCTAATTACATCTCTTCAGAGATTTGTTCTTTTATATCTAGAATTTAAAAATGTTCAGTTGATGGCATTTCTAAACAGTGCTGCTTTGCATTGATGCATTGATTGCATCAGGTAACATTATGCATTGTAAATGCAATTCAGAATTCAACTATAATATATTGTCAGATTCAGTTATCAGGCAGATCCCTTGTAGAATTGTGCTCATTTGGTTTTGTTTCACACTGTAATTAATATCTTAATTCAAGACAACCTTTTGTGATAGATCTTCCTTTTCTATGAAATACTCCTGCATTGTTTGCCTACATCTTATGAAATCACGAAATATGGTTTTTGAATGCTCATAAAAATGCTCATTTCCTCTGAGGAAATGTGATGGTATGACAGGTGCTTTACTATCTTGTATCAATAAGGTCCTGATCACAGTAATTTTCATGAATTGAAATGATTGTTTTAAATAATATTTAAGGGTGAAATCAAGTTTCAAATAAATATACCTTTGAAATTGCATACTGAATCATCAGTAAACAAAGCTCTATGGAATTTTATAATTTGTTTTTGCTTTTGAAATTAAATCTTTCAGCAAACACAATATGAAATAGAATATTATTACTTACCTCATTCTTTGTTTAGGGTATCTGCGAGATACAATGTGATGCCAATTCTTATATGCTCATGATTTTGAAGTATTTACACTAGGTATCTCACTGTGGTGGAGACAATTTCTGTACTTTTTTCTTACAAGGAACATGTTTTATTTAAATAAGTGTTAAACAGTGCATAAAATATGTTCTCCGATAATATTTTCTTAAATCAAAGCTTATTTAATACTATGTAAGGACACAACCTGTGTACAGTACCATGTGCATATTATACATTTCCCAACATTGAAACAATAACAGACTTTTAACAAGTTAAAAGAATATCAAAAACAGTCAATTATATAACATGTACACATGTGACTTTCAAAATCAATAGTGAACAGACCAGAAGACATGATAATCAAATTAATTTAAAAATTAGGTTCTACTAATGTTGTTCAGTGGATTGACATAAATTGTTCCCAAATTTTCGATCATAATCTAAAGCAGCAAATTGGTGCCAGTTTCAATCTGGAGTTCACAGAATTTTATACTCTTGTGCTTTCAAGAGAATCCAGCTTTCATTGTGATTCTGGTGTAAGAAGCTTTGGCATATCAGTCATTTGCTTTGCTAAGCAGGGGAATAAGAATGCAGTTACAAATCCCTCAGCTTTTTGCGCTTGCTGCGCCAATGGAAGAAGCGCATGCGCAGGCAGCCAGGGAGTAGCCATCTTCATTTGGAGAGCTTGAACACTCCTTTTTTGAGACTGCGTCCATCTCCAGGCTGCAACAAACAACAAGATTTCAAAGTCATATAAAAATAATTTCACTTTTATATGTCGCTTAATATTTTTAATTTCTTATTAAGGTGCCATTTTGTCAATTGGAATAAGTCATTTTTAAAGATTTTGAAAATGGATTTTTAGAAAATATTTTTCAGCAACTACCACCTGTAATTTTTGTTCTATTCATATCCATGATTTGACATAAAATGCTGCAGGAACAGAACAATTCACAAATTTCCTCTCAATTAAAAGATAATTTAATAGGGATAATTTAATTTTTAAAAGATAATTTAATTTTACAAGGAAGCAAGTTTTATATGTTTATTCATGAAATTTTACGTCAAAGGGTTTCATCCAGTTTCTTTTATTTGGAATATCGTTTTTTCCTTCATGCTAAAATTGTGCCATCTTCACTAGTCTCAAGAACTCATAACAGTACAGTACATTGATTCAATTATTTAACTCTAGTCATTCCCAACACTTATACTAATTGTCAAATTCCATTCAATAAAAATTTGTTACAAGGCAAGGCATATTACAGATCATAATAAATCCTACAATGAACCTGAAGTGAGAAACTCAGTAATTACTTTCCAATTGAAATGTTCACATTTACTGTAACATCCTCTCTTCAAATTTAGCACTTTTCTAAAATACTGCAACTGCAGTTAATCATCAAATAATTTATCACAATTTGTTTTGACAATTTATCATATCAATAACACATGTTCACTTTACAGAAAGCTTGCAGATAAGTAAAAATACTACATATCAATTAGCAGAGTACGACTCACAATCTAGCAAAATTATTTCATATTCGCAAAACCTTCCTCTTGCTTGCAAAAAGCATTGGCTTATGAAAATATTAGTACATTGCAAGTATGATACTTTACTAATATGTTTGATACTCTAATCAACAGTTAAAAATAAAAGTATTAATATATCACAGAAAGCACAAAAGAAAAGCAGCTGTAGAAATACTTAACACTTCAAATGATAAATGAATTGGTTGATACACAAATTTCTATGAATACAATTTTTTAAATTTACACATACTGTGGCACATTATTGCAAAAATATAGTGTAAAACTCCTACTATCAAATTACTGTGTAATGGAATAAAGTATTTCATTGCCTGAAAAAGAATACCATTCCTAGCCAACTAGTATTCATCAAGTCAGCAATGCAGTTCCTTCAGTGAAGTCTTCAGGAATTAGATACAGGGCTCTGGAATGTCAGACATGAAAAAATGTATTGAGATGAATTCCTTAAATGAAACTAATATGTGAATGGCAACTGTTAAGAGAATGGTGGCTCCTAATATAATTATTTTAAAGTATTATATCAAGTAAGTTGTGTAAAAGCACTTAAACATTACTTATTTTGAGAAACCACTGGTGTTTTGATGTGACATCTTAAAATGCATTCTCCGAAGTTAAGAGAAGTGAATGACATGTTCAAGTCATCAAACATGTTTCTTCAATAAAGGAATATTTTAAATGTACATGTGTATACTGCATGGTCTGCTTCTAGACTTCATGCTTTACACAAAACAGAGGAAGACAAGCTATAAACCTCTGATTTTGAGCTGTTTTATGCAATTAAAAACGCTTTAGAGTAAAGTTTCATTATCAGGTAACCTCATCATATAAATACAATTGCTGATGACAGCCTTGTACACTATTTCAAATGACATGGATTTGCCTAAGCTGGTGCATGGTTAAATTCAATTTAATTAAAAAATATATATTTCAGTAACATCTTGAATTAAATTGATAATTTTTACTCTCATCTCCCTTAGACTTACTAATGTAATTACTGTGTAGATGTCACAGAACAATAAATTTCCTTTCTTGTTTCCTTTTTCTCATGTCACAACATGCAAATTTTATTTTTATGTTCATAATGACATAACATGCGAAATTCAGGAGCTTAAATCTTAATAATATAGAAATTAACTCATCCCAGTTTGTTTTTAAAATAGATGTGCTGATAAAACCAAAATCTTCAAACATGCAAATTACAGCTAAAAGAAGAAAAGGAATTTAAAAAATTGTCAATTGTAACAATAAATTAAATTCTGCTCTCATTCAAATCAATCTGAAAATAAAAAATAAAAAATGTAGATACATACATTTATGATTTTTTGCAGTTAAATTCATTATAGTTCTATTAAGCTGCGGATTTATGGGCAGGAAAAACTGTAGAAATATGAAGACAAAATAGGCATTTTAAATAGACTTTTAAAAAGGCATTGTAAATAGTATTATAAGTAAACAATATAGTTACCTTCACGGAACGTTCATTATCTCTACATTGTTCTGACAAATCCTCATAGATATCCTTTCTATCATTGTTGGACATTTTGAACAAAAACGACTGAATTGCAGTAGCTACCGTTTTGCTCTTTATTAAAAGTAAGCTGATACTCTTAATTCTGCACCCTAATATTAATGATCTTTTTCCTCACATTTAATTTAAATGTAAATGAAAACATAGTTAATTTTTTTTTTTAATCACCACGCATAACAAATGAAACTAGGCACATACTTTTTCAAATTATATCCAAAAAATATTTCAAAATTTGCAATTTTCAAAAATTCACAGAGTTTAGCAAAAAAGACCTGCACCAATTCTTTTAAACGTCCTTTGTTCTATCTGTAGAAAAAAATTGAAGATAAAATCTGTTGTGGTTTTTGAGAACTTTTTGAAAATTTACATTAATTTCAAGCAACAATTCCCCCAAAACCACTCGTTTAAAAAAAAATTATACATGGTTTTCTAAAGAACTAATCTTTTTAAATAATTTTTTTTACCACAAAATTTTTTGTATTCAATACTGTTCTATTGCAATTTTTGAAAATAGAGTGTTTGTCAAAATTGGATCAGCACCAATTGTTATTCCGTCCTTTGATACATCTGAGAAAATTTTAAGAAAAAGTTTGAAGCTGTTATTGAGAAGAATATTGGAAGTAAAAAATAACGACCACAACAAGTGATTTTCCTCGTTTTGTAATACGAAAGACCCACACTATGGTGGCAATAAAACGGATCAAAGATTTATTGACTTTATTTCTTTTAACTCTGGAGGATAAAAATGAAATTACTTGAATTTCTTCAAATTTTTGATTAAGGAAAATTTCATTTTGTTCATTAAGTACAAGAATAGGCAACACATAGGCATTTAAATACAAAATAGGTATTTATTAGTGAAATAGACATTTATGAACACTATAAAATTTGCTTATAATACTCCTAATGCCTCAAAATGAATATGTAACCTAAATGACTGAGTTTTCCATTGAAGGAAAAGAATGGGCAAAAGTCTTCAGCTTAGTACTGATTTCCTTAGTAAACATCAACACCTTAGTTATGAAAGACAAATAAACTTGACCAAGACTTCGGTACCATAACACACCAAAATGGCAAAGTATAACAAAGTATTTTAACTGAATTTGATCAACACATCTCAGAAATTTTAATAATGTGTTTTGTTGTTTTTTTAACAATACAATGTCAAAAAGTTTGAAAACAAACATAAGTAAACATTAGTAGGTACTACTATACCTGCATATTCACATAAATTTCTCCTTATATTCACATTTTTTTAACTTATGGAACAAGAAATAGATTGTAATTATCAAAATTACACAATATTTAATACTTGTAAAAGAAATGGAAAATTAAACAAATCTATTACTTCCCTAGAAATAGGGGTATTTGGCTATTGCGGTCGTAGTAAACTGTCGATAAAATCCCTCTGCTCAAGCACTAATTAAGTCACTGAACATAATTTATATACTTGGGATACAAGCAACATTTTCTAAACAAAGAATGTGCAGAATTTTAAAATATTCAAGCATGTAGTATCAGTTAGTGGGAATAACTGATGTTAGTCATTCTTAACATGAAGTTAAATATATAAGGCAGCCACGTTAATGACAGTAATATAAAACAGTGAAACGGGGTAAGAGTTCAAATTATTAAATTTTTTACGAGTGCACTTTTAAAATTTGATATGTTATAGCTCACACATCAGTTTACTAAACTTAATCATGTTTATTTTTCAAATACATAATACCATTTCTTCATTGATTTGAACTATAAATATTTTTAACACAACTGCTGTTCATGGGGTACTTGTTTTTTTACTTCAAGGTGTACTTATGATTTTACTCATTGTTTGTGATTATTTGCTCTCTTTCTGTTTCAAATTCTAGATAATAACTGAACATTGCCTGTAAGATAATGCACACTTTCTAAAAACATGCATGCACACAAGTGTGTAAGAAACTGTGAATGCTTAACCCCTTCAATAATAATGAACTTGAAGGAATTTTGTTATGCTTTATAACATTAAAATTTATTCACCACAATCAAAATTACTATTTTGAAATAAAACTCCCTTGAAACATTAATAACATATAAAATACAATAGACTATAATATAAACTAATTTTTTCTAGATCAAGAACTAAATAATTTCATAAAGACAATTCATGTTTTCATGATGTCACTTGGCAATTAAATTTTTAATTTGCCATTTTTGTCAATTACGTTTATCAGATGATGACGATAATTTATAATCTTTTGATTTTCACAATTTCATACAGAAATATACACAGAAGTATATTTTCTAAGTAAAATTCTTAAATAAAACTGTATTACCATCAATCGAGATCCAAACAGCATACGTGCTTTATCTTCCTCTTGTGGTGATGCACTATCATCAGATGCTGCTCGATGCATTTTAATCTGCAGTTTTTGTTTGATGGCCTATTCACAACAGACAAATTTATTGTTTTATTACAAACGTAAAAAAAAAAAAATTTACATGAGTGCATCCTCAATCATAAAAGTAAGCACAAGTTTGAAATGAAGTGGATGGTGGGGATGTTTGACCTGCTTTTATATTATTATTGAAAATATATTCGTAAATACTAAATAATTTGATTCTCACACTTTATAGGAAAATTACTCTAACAAGAAGAACAATGTTATCTTTATAATGGTTTAAAGTGAACAATTTAAGATTTACTAGTGTTTTACCTTTACTAATGTACTGAGATTTACATGAATTTCCTTTTGCCTGTTCAACTTAAAAATAACAAATAGTTTTTTTCAAACATAGGGAAAACCAAAAATTCACTTGGGAAGCAAGAGGCACAAGATCAATCCTTAGAAACTTATTTAACTATGTCAAGAAGTGTCACTATGTCACTGAAGTCTGTGAAACTGTCACAGACAACTATTTGGTAGAGAGCAAAATTAACCTCACAGTGTAACAAAAAAATCTAAAGAAAATAATTTTAAAAAACCAAACTCAAGGTATTCTGTGTAGAAGATAAAAGATACATATCAGAAAGTTATATGAAAGCAGACAGAGAAAAACTACAGAAGATGCACAAACAAAATATTGTGAAATTTTGGAGTTCACATAAACAAACAATTATTGAAGCAGGAAAAGAGTGAGTAGGCATTAAATCATTCAAGAAAACTAAATGATTGAGAATGTGGGACAATGATCTAAACGAGATGATAAACCAAAACAAGAAAGCATATAGAACCTATCTCCAAAAACAAACAGTGATGAACTACGTGGAATATAAAAGACTATGGGCCAAAGTGAGATGCTTCAGTCAAATACACTGGAGAGAAGACTGGAGAAAATTTGTTAAAAGCATAGAAAGAGATGTCTCAGGCCCTCAACAAATGGGATTCAAAGCTTCGAAACTGCTGCACAAGAATATGAACAATAAAATTAGTCTTAGATGGCATACCACAACAAAACTGAATAAAACACTACTTCACCTTGTGAAACAGTCCAACTCTATGATCTAATGAAGCATTAGAAGGGCAAGCCACATTACTAACAATGATGAACTTGACACCCCAATGAAGAAGAACTCTAGACCGCAATAAGAAAAGCAAAAATGTCCCAGACCAGATAAATTCAACATAGAAATAAAATATGGAGGAAAAGAGCTGAAAAACATTTTATTAGATTTTTTTATCATATTTATGGCAAGTGAAAACAATTCCAGTAGAAGAGCAAGAGGTTTTTTTTATTAAATTAATAAAGGAAGGCTCAAAGAACTGTGACAATTATAAGGGCATTACATCACTATCAACATCTAAGCTGAAGGCAAACATGCTCAGGAACAAACTCAATGAAATATGTGAGAATTTCATTGAGCAAGAGAAAAGAGCAATGTGGATTCCAAAAGGGTAGAAGCACTAAAGCTGCCAGCTTTACATTACAAATGTTAACAGACAAAAAAAGGGAAAGGAATCTACTTTTAAACTTTTATAATAATTATTGATTGTGAAAAAGCATATGACAAAATTTATAGACAAAAACTCTGAGAAATACTAGAAGAGGAGATAGTTCCAAATCAGTAGCTCAATGCAATATAAATTCTTTACAAGAACTCGAGAATTAAAATACTGTTGAGAGAGGGAAGAAAATCAACAGCATTAACAATAAACAGTGGCTTAAGGCAACGATGAGAATTATCAACATGTAAATTAGTCACTTAGTAAGAAACTGGAGAAGGAAAGTTAGATAAGAAATAGAGATCACAAAAGATAAGAAGATACATATAATCTTGTATGCTGATGACCATACAATTGTAATGGATTCTGAAGATAATTTACAAAGAGCAGTTTTTGAATTGACAAAAGTGGCCCAAGAATATTCCACGAAGATAGTAGTTCAGAGAACAAAAGTTATGGCAATACAAGACCAGGAACAAAGGAGAATCAAACTTGTAATAAATGGAAAATTAGTGGAACAAGTGAATAAATGTTCATAACTCGGAAATATCATAAGTCAATACAACCAAATTCAGGAAGACATAGAGACAATATTATAAAGTAATACGTAACATATACGAGAGTTCTATCAGAATGAATAACACAGTGAAATTGGTATCAGAGAAATGCTATACCTCTGCAATCATTCAAATTTTTCAAATTGTGAGTCAACATTCAAATGAACTGTGCAACAACAAGTATCACAGATAATGCTAAGTTGTGTGTGTGTATGTGTGTGTTTTTTTCATCTCAAGATATTAATAACTCCTATTTAAATTTCAGAATTTCCTTGCTATATCTATTACATATGTGTTAACAATTTACAATGTGAAATAATGTGGTTTTTAGTTCCGATTTACATTATTCTGGATTTCAAAGTATTTATGTTTTAAATAAAGAACAAAAGAATATTCAAGTGCCAGTGGAAACACAGGTTGAAGAGTATTATATTTTGTTTCTCAGCAGTCAAAGTAAAAATTTCACAGAATTTCTCATCATTCCAGAGATCTTGAGTTAATAATTAATTGATTAAGAGATTTGGAAGCTTAATGTGCAATAGTTCTCTCAGAATTTTACCCTATCACAAGAATTGTATTTACTGATTTTCTATCTAATTTCTACACACGCATTTTTTTATATTACATGTAACCATTTATTCTTCAGATTTTAAAAATCCATGAATTTGTGAACATACATTTTAAAAAATGAATAAAAATGTCTACCTTTAAAAAAAATACAAAATCTTAAAATATGTATTTAATTACACTTACCTGAGAGAGGATGACACGTCTACTATCATTTTTCATGGCCAATAGGAGATCTAACCATGTCCAAGTGACATTATGGTACTCCAAAGTCGGAATAACTAAGCTGAAGTCACGAATATCCTCCAAATTTTTATCCTTGTTACCTTTGTAGCTAACTTTCACTGGGACCTCAGGTATCTTAATGTAAATAAATAGTTTGTTCTTCTCAGCACGTTCCTAAAACGAAAATATATAAATAAAATTGGTGTGGGTGAAAATATGAGAATTGGTTGGCTATTTACTAAAAAATATATTAAATTCATTAATTTATCTAAAAAAAGAGTGATATCATGATATCACTGATATACTATTGTTACTTGATAAATAAATGGATAATAAAAAGGCAATGCCAGATTTCCAAATATACGCTTACTTGGGGCCCCTTGTAAGGACTCCTTGTGAGCTTATTCTTTTAAACTTTTCTAATTGGCTTTTTATTTCAGATTGTACAAAATAATTATTGAGAAGTATTCTCTTTATACATAATATGCTAAGGAACAACAATAAATTTGTACCATTTGTCAAAAAAAACATTGATACAAAACCTTATTAACTGGGTTGCACCCAAAAGCCAAAAGGCGTGAACCAAAAGGCAAAGGTATTTGCTTCGTGGAGTACAAAGTTTGATTTAAAGTTTCCAGAATCTCCCCACTATTGTCCTTGGGTGTGCAGTCAACCATGTTGTTGATCTCAACACTTCCCAAGCTGATGAGACAAACTGAAGTTGAAACAGTATAGCAAAAGATGAAGTAGACTTTTTTGGCTTTTGGCTGCAACATATTTTGAAGCACAGACTTCATTCAATCCGGCTTCTTTGCCTTGCTGAAGAGAACTGAATAGTTCAAAAATGTCTAGCAAAACTGGGTCTTTCATTTATCCAATTTTGCAGTGACCACCGATTTGGGATCAAAGTTTATCCCAAGACCTTGGCAACCCTACCAAAACTCAAAATTTCTGAGTGGTATTTGGGACCCATTGGTCAAGGGGTTTTAAACAAGACACCCTTTGGCAAACGCTAGCAAACACATTCTTTGGCTTACCCTATGTCATCTTTTGCTATACTGTTTCGACTTCAATTTGTCTCATCAGCTTGGGAAGTGTTGAGATCAGCAACATGGCTGACCGCGTACCCAAGGACAGTAGTGGGGAGATTCTGGAAACTTTAGGATATTATTACGTGTGCTTCTGCTGGATAGAAAGTTACCCCTGGGTCTACATCAAATAGATTTAAGAAAAAAAAGAAAAAAATTGCAGATTATAATGTAAGCAAAAAGAATTTTAATGCAACACACAGCCATCATGCACAACTCAGAAGTAATGCAGCCTAGATGAAACCATGTTTATGAAGTATGTGTCTCCTGCCATAACCTACACTGTCAGATCTTTTTGGATGTTCTATGACATTTTAGGTACATTCACTTAGTAAAGGTTTCATTATTAAGCTACATTCAAATAATGATTTACAAAATGCGGATTGTTTGCTTGCACCTAGACTTTTAATTTTATTATATTTGATGAAATATGTTAAAATACATTTTGACCCCGAATACTTTGTGTAGAGGAAAGTTGCTCAAAACACACCTTGAAAATAAATGTACCCCAAATGCAAAAGAAGAGGAAAGCATTCAGTTATTCAGGAAATTATTTGAGCAACTTTACTGACTTCAACATGATTACAGCAATAGATCCATACTTTTTTTGTTCTAGTAACTTTTAATGTTGAAATGCTACTTCATAGTTTTCAAAGTTTAAGAAAGTCTTTTTATAAACTCTGGCCCAAAATACAATTTTTGAAAGACACCAATAAGAAGTGAAATATCAAACAAAATATTTCAAAGTAATCAAAGTATTCAAGTAGTATTCAAAAGTATTCAAAGTAATAAAAATAGTCTGTTTTGAAAATGAAAATCAGAATATTGTTAACATTAATAATAAGATAATAGATGGCAACATACTCCTACAAGATGTTAATTTGATATCAGATAATGGAACTGCACCACATGGATGTGTTGATCAGAGGTTCTCAAATCTTTCCTCATCAATGATCTCTTGGTTACTGGAAAAAGGTCTTGCTAACCAAATTGTAGAAATGACAAGCATATAGAGAAAAATGTGACCTAGTCATAGAAAATATTACCAAGATAGATATTTTCAACTTGCATTACAAAAAATGCAAGAAATGGATAATGGGTTGCATTTTGATAAATTAAATGAAAAAAAAAATTATTAATAGCAATGTTTGTACAGAGACACCTCCTGGCAACATATTAGTTTTTGTTCTGAGACAAGAGTTGTAAATCAACAAAGAGAGACACCTCCTGGCAAGGATGGAGAGGAATTAATCTTCTTCTCATGGCTATAGATTTTAATTGTACATTTGATAAAGTTTATGAAAACACAAAAAATATTTGAGAAACCCATAGCTTCAAAAATCTATAAAAGAATGGCCTTCACCCAAAATTTCCATTGTCATGGAAGATATTACTGGGCTTACCTTCATTTTTTCCACATCATCTTTAGGATCAATGGGAACATAGAAGCTGGCTTCTTTGCCTTTAGCTTTCTTTCCTTTCTTGCTCTTTCCTTCTGTTTCAAGATCCTCTGATCCTTCTCCTTCAATTGTATCAGGATCTCGTTCAGGAAAACAGAATTTGAGCATTGTGTTGAAGAACTTTTTTGTGAGACCTTTTATGAAAAAATTCAGAAAATATAAATATAATGTAAATGATATTTACATTGAATCAATAATTTTATGAAAAGGAAATTACTGCTTACCTATTGTAATAGGTACTACATTAATTTCAAAATGTTCTTTCACTGAAATACCTCCAACTGGTGCTTTTTCTCGACAGAACACTCTTACAGCTCTCTAGAAAACAAATTTGTGCTACTATTATTATGATCATTATCATCATCAATGCAAAAAAAGAAGTAGAAATTCATCCACCTTTAGGAATAATTGCTCTCCCAGTGAGTAAATATCCTTTCTCTGGTAACTTAAAAGAGAATTTCTTGATTTGTATAAAAAATAAAATTATCTTACATTACAAGCAGAAAATTTTATAAAAGTATGAAGCTTAACGTTTTGTATTATTTATTAAATTAATAAGATGAAACTATAAATGAATTTACAAGATAATTAAAAATATATCTCCTATGTTTTTAGGTTTAATGAAGTTCCTTTCATTTAACTGAGAAGTGCAGGGAAGAGAGCTTCAAATGGAATATTTATCACAGGGAGTGTTATGAGTCATTAAGAAGGAGGAGGGAGGTTACAAAGAGTTAACATTGGCTTCAAATTTCCCTATTAATTGAATGAAATAATTCTTAATTAACATATTATACTATATCTACATTCTTAATGAAGATGGTGATAAAAGCAGAATTTTCAAATCATTCTTTAAAAACTAATAGCTCATCTCCATTCTTTGTACATATGCTAAAAGGCAACTTACGATTTCATTTTAATTTTTTTTTTATTTTTTGTTTTTTCAACTTAACCAACACTTCCAAAACATTATTTCTTTACTTCAAATACGTAATCTATAAATATGAGTGCAGAAAGAAGTTGACATTATACACTGAAGAGCCAAAAAAACTAGTACAGCCATGCATATTGAAATAAAGATATCTGGAACGAATCAAAATACAGCACTCTGGTTGGCAATGACTGTAAAAGATAACCAGAGTCTGGCACAGTTCTGAGATCAGTTACTGCTGCAACAATGGTACGTTATCACGATTTAAGTGAGTTCGATCATGGTGTAATAGTCGATGCGAGAGAGATGGGGCATAGCATCTCTGAGATCATGATGAAATTTGGATTTTCACTTATGACCATTTGTATACTGTAAATATTGGGAATCCAGCAAAACATCAAACCTTCAGCGTCACTGTGGACGCAAACTATTGTGCAAGAACAGGACTGATGACAACTGAGGAGAATCATTAGAAGTGACAAAAGTGCAACCCTTCGGCAAATTACTACAGATGTCAATGCTAGGCTAGATTTCAATGCTATCAATAAGTGTCAGCGTGCAAACTATTCAACGAGACATTATCGATATGGGGTTTCAGAGCAGAAGGCCCACTCGTGTAACCTTGATGACTGCATGATTCAAAGATTTACGCCTTGCCTGGGCCCGCCAATACAGACATTGGACTGTTGAAGACAGGAAACACGTTGCCTGGTCTGATGAGTCTCATCTCATTTGTTTCGAGCACACGGATGTGTAAGAGTATGGAGTATATTTATTTATTTTTGTTTTTTTTTTAACTACAAAAGAAATCAATGGAAGCAATGCAATAGGCCTGTATCATGAAACTAATATGAGAGTTTCTTACCTTGCGGTCCACTGGCATGTTACTTTGTATCTCAGTGGGAGATAACACTTCCTTATACACTTGATTGGGTAACAAGTTAGTCATGCGAACATAACCCACTTCAAGTAAGTGTTCTCCAGAATCATCACTCTTGGAGTTCTTGGTGTATCTGTGAACAGTAAGCAGTACAACAAAGCAATTCCACATATTCATCATCATCGTTACTAGTACAGGAAGAATAAATAAGTTCATTGTAGAAAATAGCTTCAAAGAATCAAAAACTAGAAATCATCACTGAACAAATTAACCCAAATTGTTTCATATTTCACGTTCAGCAGTTAATAATGTTGATGTTAAATAAGGTCATGTAAAATATTACAATGGAACATTTGTAATTAAGACATTTTGAAGAGACAAGAAACAAATTTTGTAAGACAAACCTTCATGATCTGGGCCATGAAAAAAATATTTCAACAACATAAAATATTAATCAGTCATCAGTTTTCTCTTTCTGAAATGTATTTCAAATATTCAAAAAAATATTTTGGATTAGGGTGTATTGATTGTCATTTAAAGCACACTGAACAGAAATATTCCTAGGGGATTGTATACAAGCTTTCTGAACTACTGATAACCACTTGGTCACAGGTAACTGTCATGTTCAAGAGGATTTCATTTTCTATTTAAGATGTGAGACTTCACTTGATATGAAATAAAATTCAAACTACAATTTCGACAAATATTTAAAATTACATCTTTCATAGGAACATAGAACATAAATAAAAAAAACTAATACACATAAGGTTTACACATGATCACATGATCATACTCACAGAAAATTACTAAGTACAAGATCAGCAATTCCTAATTGACCATCAGCTTGAGTAAGTCTCCACTGAGCATGTTTGAAAACGATCTCGTTGGCACGCACAATTGTTACTGGTTTGTCACCACGCATTGTGGCAAGTTTTTGGTTAGCAGAAAGTTGTGTTTCTTTGTAACATGATATCATCATATCCAGCTCTTCACTGTGTGCATTCAACTGTTCTTTGCATTCGTTTATCTGCAATACACATACATGGAAATTAGAGATGGAATTTATGATGGATCATTTTCATGTATACATATGAGTGAAACAATTGTTTCAAGAACACAATGACTTTTCCAGAAAGATTCAAACCTAATAAACCATATAATGTAATCAGTTAAATACAGTAAGAAGGGCTATGTAGACGTAAGCGATTACACAAATAAATACATAAATAAATTGAAAATTAAATAATTTACAAGTGTATTAAAATGAACAATATTAAATATTATGCAATAATCTACAAATTCTGCTCCCTGAACTAACAACTAAAAAATTAATATTATGAATTTGGTATGCATTTTCTAAAGATATCAGATTCATTTATATCAAACTTAAGATACGTTTCATTCTTCCATGAATGTTATTAAAATGAGTAACACTCAAGAAAAATTTTATACTTGACAAAATATTCATGTTCCATTAATTTCATTCTCTTCAAGATAAACTAGTGAAGCCAAAACAGCACATGCTTTCTTACAGAACTCATATTTGTACCTTTTGCATTTTCAGAAATGCAAAGTTGGATCACTGTCATTTTTAGAAACATACATCACACACACCAAGAAAAAATGTTATTTGCAACTTAGATCTAAATCCATCATATCAATTCATGTATTTGATTTGTTCAATTTCAGTGATACTTTTCACTAATAAAACATAGTTATTGTATTGTTGAGGGCTTCCAAGTGTTATTCACACAGTGATGTCATCATGAGGAAAACACACAATTTCATTGTGAATCAATAAGCAATGAAAATTCAGATCAATGAAAATTCTCAAGGCAAAAAAATGACAAATTAATGGAGACATCTCATTTGTAGACATCACAGTAAACAAAAAACATGTCACTGACAACCCCAACACATTAGAATTATTAGTCTTTCAATAAATATGCCTCGTTCATATTTCTCATGAATACTGATTTTCAGTAAAATAATTTGAAATAAATACCAGAAAACACTGAAGAGTGGCCAAAATCTTCTACAGCTATAACAACAACGTAATGATACATATTTGTTAGTTTTTAGAATACATTTCTGTATTTTCTACTGTATATATACACACACTGTATGCATATATTTTACTATCTTAATAATGAAATCACTCTTTTTAAGATAAAAAATTGAACTATACTTGAAACAATTTGCTAAAAGAGCTCTCTTCTCCAAATCAGAATTTTCAAGTTAGTTCCATATTACCTAACTACATCTAATAATGTATTAGAAATCAGTTAAGTTACTTTATTGGTTTTTTTCTTTAATTTTTGTTAATAACATAGGACCGAAATGTAGATATCTCTAATAAAAGAGCATTTAGATACAGAGTGTTAAAAATACGATACACATAATTAAAATATCCACCTGCCGATCCAAGTCTTCCATTTCTTGGCGATAGGCTTCTTCATTGATGTCAGCATCTAGTTCAGCTGCTGCTCGTTCCAGTAAATAGCTTTCTCGCTCTAAACGGCGTAATTTTGATACCATAGACCTAGAGACACAAAATCACTATGATTGATTTGACTACTTCTCCCCCTCCATCTCTTGCTTAAACCCAGAAAATATAAAGACTACAATACATACAAAGATTTACCTACTTACCTTTAAAATAGTGTATACAGTTCTAGATAAAATATTTGAAAATATCTTAACAAAAAAAAAAGTATACTACGGTCTTATGCTAAATTTACGCTAACAAATCTGAGAACCCAATGAGACTTAATGATCACTTCAAAAATTCCCACTTACCGTACTTTGTTCTGAAGCTGCTGAATCGGCCGGCGCTGATCCTCTACTGAATGTAATTGCAACTGAAAGCGCATTCTCTGCAGTCTTGCTGATGCCTCTTTGCGGCGTGGTTCGACATATAGCAACAAATTGTTTACCACATCCAGCACCATAGCATATTGTAGTGAATTAGTGCAAACCTATATTAATAACAGCAAATAATGAATTGGACCAGAAGAATTACTTGTTAAAAACACTTTATTAATGCTGGTAAACAAAGGGCATGAACTGGATGAAGAATGACTATTTATAAAGCATGCCTTATTTTATTCCACCTTAATTCCTTCTTGTTGCGTTTCTCAGCCCCCCTCCTGTCTAATACTCAATTACAAATATGAAGTTATCAACTGGTAAAAATGCAAGTAAAATTCAAAGAAATTTTAAATATCATGTGATTGTTTTCCTTGCTCAATGGCACTTGACCTCGACTTAATACTTAACTGGTTTAAGGCAGGGATAGATGGAGAGTTGACAAAGGGGGAAGAAGAGGAGAGAAGAAGGGGAGAGGGGATGGGAAAGGAGTAGAGGGGGATGGTATGGAAGGGAAAGGAGAGTTGGAGAGGAGAGGAGAGAAGAGGAGAGGGGCAGAAAAGAATGGGAATGGGAAGAGGTGTTTGGAGGGAAATAGGGGAGAGAAAGAGGGGAAGAGAATGAGGAGGATGGGAGAGGTGAAAAATGGAGAGAATTGTAGGAGATGAGAGGAATGGAGAAGAAGGCTGGAGGAGAAGAGGTAGGATGGGGGAAGAAAGGAGGGGAGAAGAATGTACTCACCTCGAGGTCGTGGTGCATGAGCGTGAAGGCGTCGACGGCCGGGTCGCGGCGCTCCCATGGCCCAGCGCCCGAGCCTTCCTCGTACGGCGGCGGCGGGGGCGGCAGCTCGGCGGCGGCCGCGGGGTCCACGCTGCTCTCGCCGTAGCATGCATAGAAGAACTCGCAGCGGCAGCGCGACACGATGCGCTGCAGCTGCAACGGCGCCGCGCCGCCCTCGCAGCCCACTGCCGTCGCGCCCACCGTCTCGCTCACCACGCCGCCCACCGAACGACCGCTGCCCACTAGGTGAGGTACATCCGGCAGCTCGGAGATGTGTTCCGCCGCGTCCTGCAACCGTAAACGACACACACTTCGTACCCGACCCCTCGGCATCAATGCGCTACGTCCCAACGCGATAAATAAACATACATTACAAGGGTCGATAAACACCTTACCCAACCCAACGCCTCTATCATGGCTAAAAGCCATTTTATCTATACACAAGAGAGATCCACGCAAAAAAATAAATTACTTTCCGATGATTAGTATTTGTCTTTTTTAAACAAGTTGAATGCTACAACGTGTTAAATGATCGTTTTGTTGACGTAAAGTGGACGTAAATTGCAGGGAGAAGGTAGTTAGAGAGAAAATTTATTCTTGAAAAGTATTATTTTTAGAGCAGTGCAGAAACTGCAAATAAACTGCAAATTGTAGTTGTATTTTGTTTCGTACCAAAAAGTTTCTATTTTACACGGTAAGATTTTTGGCTTTTTTTTTGGATTAAAATTATTTTATTTATACCGTATCTGATTAGATATTACCATTAAGAAGTTCTAGTCAACAGTGCAGTTTTTGCCACTGCCACGTACGCGGTTTATTGCAGGAAGAAATTAATATATAGTATCCAACGAGAAAAGGCTCGAAAGTTTAAATATGATATCGATTTACATTGTGAAAGACAGGGGGGGGGGGCGGCCTTCTCAATTTGATTTATTACCTGTATATTTTGTGGCATTATGAGAACAATCCGGCAATTAGTGTATTTCACATGGTGTAATGATTCAATTGCGAGTTCTATTATTTTGAGTCATCTTAGAAATTTCTGCACATTGAATAGCATTTTAGTTTTGAAGGAAGACATTCCCAAATGGAACAAATGGTAACAAGGATCACAAATAATTGTATACGAATAAACCGTGTCATAAATGGTGATTGATGAATAACGGGTATGATTTATAAATGTGAATCACAAACTTGAGAGATGTCGGAATCCGTTTGCTTCGAATTGGTAAGGAAAATAATGGGCCTTAAAAGCAACTTCAGAACAATGGAAGGTTTGCTATGCAATCCAGCGAGATAAGGTGGACGTACCTGTCCCCGTTCTTGGATATTGTCGACGGTGAGCCACATGATGTTGTCGTTGAGGGCGTCGGCGTCGCCGGCCGCCACCGTGGCGTAGTACTGCATGCACTCGAGCGAGCCCACCCACGTGGTCTTGCTGACGGGCGTGCGTGCCTTCCACACGGGCCGGTGCACACGCTGCAAAATCTCGGCCTTGGCGGCGCTTAGGATGACGTAACCCTTCGTCTCACAGCCCTTGAGCAGCACCTGGCTGTTGACCAACGCGACTGCGCCCCAACTGAGGTCATAACTCCTCTCGCTTGCGAGCCTTAATCTATGGGGAGATCTTTAGCCTAAGCGTCTTTTACGAATTCATCGCTTAGTTATTTATTATACTACTCATTCCGTAATTCTTTCATTTGAACTGATTGTGTAGTTTTTTTTATTTGTACAAAGGAAGGTTCATGATGCGCGCTTGAGAAGGTAGATTTTTGTTTCGAAACTATATGAAGAGGAGAGGAGTTCAAAAGATGACGATGTTTGTCAATGCGTTTATTGAAGAAATTTTATATAACACTTCGGCAGTTGAAAATCTCACTAGTCCGACCCCTTACAGTCGCGCTTTTTTATTACATATTTTCTGTAGCCATACCATAACATCAAAGAAATTTGTAAAAGTTTAATACAAAAATTAGCCACCCTTCGAGATTTTTATGAGGTTGCCCACTTTGCGTTTTCATAAAAATGCGCCTGTCATCCAATTAACATACAAAAATCCGCGGTAGGAGTGGAGAGGCTGAATGGGAGATAGGGAATACGCGGCACTCACTAAGCCAGTTCTTATGCAGCGCGTCGTCCTCACGGCAGGCGGCGCGACCCAGTAGCTGCGGCTCGCCGTCACCGGGTGCCGCTGAAGGATCGTCGCTGAACACCACCGCCTTGTTGTCCGCCTCGGCGATCAGCCGCTGCAGCATCGACGCCGCCACGCCCGACTGCAGCTTCGACATCGGCGAGGGCGTTGCCTGCGCATCGGAATAACTCCTTACATCTTTACAAGGAGAAAATGCGCTCTGAATACCATCAAAATAATTAAAATTTTGAGATATTAAGTTTTTCACCAAAATATTTCAGTGTAATAGTCGTAGGTGAAATGAGCCCACCTCTTCCACGGATGAATTGCGCAAGCGCAAACACTCAGAAAAAAATCCTTTTCCTGAAGTCTCCCCGGTACGAATTGTTTATTTACATATTTCTCCTGCTCCTTGATTAGTGGATTCGAGTTGTCAAGTACAAACTATTTATCCACACTCTCAAAAATACAGATCTTTCAAGTGCACCGCGAACTTGACTAGCGTCTCGCCAAGTGACCAGTTACGCTTGAATATTAAGACTGTGAAATAGCTCGCAAACAATACGTCAAAAATTATAAGACTTCATTTCAAATTGAAAGTGGTATTACTACTAGGTACTACTTTCGCCATAAATGTTTTCCCACGGCATTCTATCTTTTCAAAACACGTTTTCTCCTTTCATAGGTCTTATAACCAAATCGGATAAGAAGTAAACACGAACTGCTCTTTAAACACTCTATATATTGTTTCATCGCTAGTCCATGTTACAATGGCCACGACGTTCAAGAAGAGATTCCTGTACAAGTAGTGTTTCAATTATCTTAGGAAACAGATTTAAAGCATCAAAACCTTCACTCGTGAATACAATTGCGGGAATTGGTAATTGTTCTCAAAATCGCCAAACTGGGTCAAAATGACATCTGTGAAATTGCGCCTACGGCGACTAGGGTCTTAAAAATATGTTTAATGAGATTGAAACATTAACAAAAAAAAGTCACTTTCGCAATAAACCATCAGGGAGAGTAGCTGCCTTACTAGGATCTTAAGAACAGTAAAAGAGGTTAGTTAGAAAAATAATGTACAGTTGCATCTTACCTGCGCGGCCGCCGCCTTGGCCGCGTCGACGCCTGCCCCGGCTGCTGCCGCCACCTCCGTGCCCGTCCCTGCGGCGCCGGGCGGCGCGGGCGTGAGCGAGCCGGCGTCCGTCGCCGCCGCGGCCGCCGCTGCCCGCCCGCGCGCCGCCTTGGGCGTGGACGAGGGCTCCGCGCGGAACCCCTTCAGCGCCTCCGTCGACAGGTTCTTCTTCAGTTGCTGCGCAAGCGCCGTTCAGGCGAATCACACGCACTGCCTCACATCTGACCGCTTTCCAATCAGCGGACACGATTTATGAATTTTATCTTTTTCAAGCTGTCTTCCTTTGCCGAGGGTACTTTTGCGCCATAGTTCGCGTATCAAGCTCTAATATATCGCGATGCGTTCTAAATAATAAAAAATATATTTTGTAATATCATCAACTTTTCACTGTTTCTACGGTATTTGAGGATTTCTACGTCTTGACCGTTCTGTCAGATCGAATCTGTACCTTCTGTGAAGCTTTTTATGAGCCACATCTATTTGAACAGGTTTAGCCATATGATTTGGAAGACTCATCAAATATTACACTTTATTTTACTTTCAAAAAACAGAACGAAATTCGAGAAGCATGAACATCGAACTTAATCTCGCGCTTCAAATTAATACATATATCAGAATTATGAAAACCACATGATCAGACGGGGATTCATGATTTTCTGCGTAGACCCTGCTCATGACAGATAATAGATTTTTGAACATTATAGTATCTACTCCTTACTGGAAGTGAAAGAACATAATCTAATGGTTCATATGAGACGGTTCCCCCTCTCCCTCCCTCCCTCCCCCGCCCTCTCTCGTTCTCTCCGAGACGTACCTTTGTCTTGACGAAGGCGTCGAAGAGCGCGAAGGCGACGTCGCGATTGCTCTTGGTCCAAGCGCCCTTGAGGTCGTAGACGACCAGACGGTGCGTGGGCGTGTCCCCGCCTGCCGGCAGCAGCGCCTCGCGCCCGTACGACACCTTGGCCACGCTCAGGCAGTAGCACTTCTCGACGGGCGGGCGCATGGCGGCGTGCACCGGCTGACCGGTCTCCGCGCCGCCGCTCTCCGGGTCCTCGGGTAGGGCGCTCTTAAGCCAAATTTCGGCGTCGTTCAACTCGCAGTTCATATAAGCGATGGCCCAGTCGGCGCGCGGCCGGTGCTTCAGCCCGTCGTCTACGGGCACCAGCGTCAGCGTGTGCTCTGTGCACGTGGAAGAAATAGAGTTATGTTAAGACTTCGAATGCAGCCTGCGCCAGATTTAGTTACTGCGCCCCCCTCCCCTTAAACACAAAATTGTATAGCCCCCGCTCCCGGAAAAAATCCTTCGGATATAACAAAAATGTTTTGTAACATACATTTTTAGTACACATACAAACTTTTAAATATTAATGATTAACAATTATTTTACAGATACAAACAAATTTTCTGAATTTTCAAATATTTTATTAATTTTCTTTTCGGGACGCGGAGCTTTCATGAAGCCCCCTACGCAATTGCTAATTTTCCTCACAAATAAATCCAGCCCTGAATGCAAGAACTATATTCAATGTTGCACCAACCATTGAAGAGATAGTTAAGGAAAGGCAGCATATCAGGCCAATCATAATGTACCTGGGTTCAGAAAGAGAGCTAAGGCAGGAAGGAGAAGAGCTTCTTGTCACAAAATTGTACAGTGGAAGGAGAAAAGTAATTGAAAAGAGTAAGTGCACTCCAAAAACATCGTCTCATTTCAATACAGTTTTGTTGAATAGACACGAAGTGTCTTTAAAACTTTTTCCTTAAAACAAAAATATGTTTCGTTCGCTATTACTTTCTTTCCTTTAGTCCTCGCTTATAATTATAACACTTATATTAAAATTCTGCAATACTGTCCCTTGCAAAGAAAAGGGTTCATGGTGTGCACTTACACGTGAAGAAGTAGATACTATTTTTACAAATTGTATATGAAGGGAGAGGGAACAACAGATGACGATTTTTGTCAACGTAATTGTTGAAACAACTCCTGACAAAATTATAATAGTCATAGTCATTACTCAGTCTGTCTCACGATGTGACAGAATCCATCACATCCAGCTCCGCTATCATGTTCCAAAATGTAAAGGTCATTTAGGGCCGTGTGGGCATCATTATTGTGATTGGTACGGCTGAAATACCGAGAATCAAACCATAGTGATCTCGTGTAAATGTTTCAGAAGTCTATTTCTACTGGCTAACTTCCATAAATAAGGAATGAAGTTTCTCTAGATGAATATTTATACGAAAAAATGATTTTACAAAAAGCGAGGAGGATATGTTCAAAATATATCTTCGAGGTTGGGGATCCCACCATCCCGCCGACATAATAGACCCGTGGTTGGTAACACAGGCAATCAACAACAGAGCAGGACGCTGCAGCAGCAGCAGCAGCAACGGCGGCGCCGGCGGCATTGCACGTCCGGGTGGCAAGGAAGCGTCAGCTGCGATAACAACACGGAAAATGGGGCTATCTTATCTCGATTTTGCCTTCAGGCTTTCTTTGCAATTCAACTGCAATTATTTATACTGAAGCGGTGACGCTGGAACGAAACGTTTTCCAGACGAGAAGAATTCTTTAAAACTTGTATTTTCTTCTCTTCATTTTCTCACCACTCAGAAATTATTTTTTCAGTCATTGAAAAAGTACTACGTTACAATGATCATGCATTTATCATTAAAGAAAGAGTGGTAATTCACTTCCTAAAACTTAAAAAATAATAATTTGTTATGAAATTAATAAAATATTATAACAATACAATGAAAAATTGCATAAAATAAAATCCTTATGCTATTTACAAATAGAAACCGAATTTAACAGGGTATACAATTTACTAAAACTAGTGACATACAAAAATGATAGGCTTCACTTTACCCAACCCACCAAATTAACCCATCGATTGAGTGCATCTACTATGAGTCCCAACCTACCAAGGTCTCACCTGGTAGAGTTCCAGTTACCAAAGAGAAGGAAAATATCAGGTAAATTCACTAATCCGGCCCAAAATGACTTTCACCACTGTTTCGAACAAGTTTAATTTTTAAACATTTTCAATGTGCTCTTTTTCCTTCGTAATAATTTGACATTGGTCTGAACTAAGAACAATCTATGCCCTAGCAAACAATAAGAATGTTGTTTGAGAAAATATTATTAGAGCATGAACAAATGGCCAAAATTAGACCATGAATATTATGATTAGTAATCTTTTTATTATAACATGTTTCTTTAAAAAGTTAGTGGATGAAAGAAATTGCTTGGTTTATGAAAATATTTGGCATGAAAACTTTGCATGTATGTCCACAAAATGTCTAGGGGAGAAATAAACCAATTTGCTACACTAATCAAGATCGTGATCCATCATACATACACTTTTGTCCAGTAATACAAAAAACATAAATTAATTGAATAGTTTTAAAGAGATTTTAGAAACGTTTTTTTTTTCTTCAAATGTGATCTGATGTTGCAAAAATTAGTATTGTGAAAGTTTCAATGTCTAAGATTACAATTTGGTGGACAAGACAGTGTCAAAACCACTACACAAGACTATTGACATGACTTGCCACATTATAATAAGGAACTGGATTTTAAAAATTTTATACACATAATTTTAGGCTTTCTGAAAAGTCAATTAAGCCCAAAGGGCATGGCGAATTAACTCCATGAAGCTGAGTTTGAATCTCGGCGCGGAGAAATTTTTTTTGCTGATTGGAAACACTTTTGCAGGTTTATGTAGCAATATAATATTGCATAGCCATCTTCTTCTTCTCCATTTCAAGGATTAGGCAGGAATGCCTGTTCCGTCTTCACTTTGCACTTCAGGAC